AGTTTTAGAAGGCAACCCGGTTTCAACGCTGGACCTCTGCGTGCCAGTAGAGTATTCTACCGCAGAGCATCGATGGTGCTTTAAACGTCTTCGCTAAAACACCCTGCAGAGGTGCCATATAGGGTAAAGAACCATGTTAACATACGTAATATAGCGCCATGGAAGAGTGAAATAACAAGTAAAATAAAATGTATAGCGGCAAACTCGATTATTCGCAGAACGCCGAATAATGGCGCAGTGGGTGCTTCTCTAATTCACGAAAGTTATGTATTCGTTCTCCCAAGACTGTCTACAACGGGCTCTGGACCTTTCCAGCTTTCGATGTGACTGTGCTGCGTATTCTGCGCAGGCCTGGCAATTTTTCTTCATACTCATCAGAAAAAAAGAAAGCATGCCAGACACACAATAGCAAGCCTATCCTGTACTGACCAAAAAGCCTGACCTCTCTATTTCGTCTCTCAGCGTCACCTTCCTTCTCTCTTGAAAAAAATAAAATCTTTTAAAGGGCCCGCTCATCAGGCTCTCAAAGTAATAATAATAAAAAAAACGAGCGCAATATTCTCTCTTGATCTTTCTTGTCCTTCTTGGGCACTTCTGTGATATAGACAGTAGTTGCAGCGACGTCTATAGCGTACAAGCTCTCAATTGGTTCATGTACACAAAATATCGGATGTGATTTGTCTCCTGCACTGTTTTGCCATGAAGCGCTATACCCATCCGTTCTTCGTTGTTCTCGCATTAATATCCGTACAATCCACCAATCACACTTCATTTTGTGTGTTGACATTGGCGCGAGCGCGATAGCAGGGTTGTCGCCGAGAAGCGCGAAATCTGACAGGTTTTAGCCCTTAGTGATGACATTGTCCCGTTAATTTAAGAGCTGAGGGGCGCGAGGAGGATGCATCGCGTGTGCGAATCAGAGGAGAAAATTGCTTTTCGTCTTTAAAGCGGGTGGTGGTGAGTAGGTCTTTAATCCCCTCCCATATTCCAGGAACCCTTCCGTAAAACTCCCAGTTTAAAAAAAAAATCTGTTTAACCTCCACGCGATTTAAGCTTAGAAAAAGCGCCCATACGCTTATCAGTGCGAGGTTTTCTAGCGTTTTCGTTAAGGGCGTTGTCGAGCACTGCCATGGCAACAGCTATTCTTGCGCAGAACTGTAAGCTTTCGCAAACGAGCTTTAAGCCATCCTTGACGCTAATGCCATGGTGCAGTATAGATGCCGGGAAGTTGAGCGTGATGGCAACCGCGAACACAAGTAGGAAAAGGACGCTGTGATGACACTGCGTTGTGAACGCCGCACCGATCTTGAATGAAGTGTGCACGTGATAGTGTAACCACCTACCGTGTATAGACAAACAATTGATATGTGGGGTTAACGTCCCAAACCACCATATGATTATGAGAGACGCCATAGTGGAGGGCTACGGAAATTTCGACCACCTGGAGTTCTTTAACGTGCACCCAAATCTGTGCACACGGGTCTACAACATTTCCGCCTCCATCGGAAATGCAGCCGTGATTCGAACCCGCGACCTGTCGGTCAGTAGCCGAGTACCTTAGCCACTAGACCACCGTGGCGGGGCAGACAAACAACAAACGATTGGTTTTACTTGTGTAAAGAGAGTGAAGTTCGAACGCAGAAAAAAAAAAAGGCCAGGTGCCGCGTACGAAACAAAACCTTTTTTCGCAATTTACACGTCAGACACGTGTTACGTAACGTTAAATGCGTTAGATGTTTGGCTACATAGAAAGTTGCGCAACAATGCTGCAGAATTTCTCCGGCACGCACGGTCAGATGACCCGAGAGCTACAGCGCGCCACACGAACACTTGCAGCGAATGTTACCGTCTCCGGGAATCACCGTCACGAGCGCTTCCGTGTTGCGGGCCTTTCGAGGAGCTAGTATTCACCTTTCATAAACGCCTCCCTGGGCGCCGCCATAGCCCTCCTTGGGCTGTGCAAATTGGCGCGTCCCCTCGAAAATTGCACTGGCAACGCTGCGTCCTTAGCCTTTGTATTCCCGCCACAGGCCCATCATGGCGGTGTTTTTTTCCTTCCTGCGAAAAGGTGTATAGTGCAGCGCGAGTAACGCAGGGAGAATGAGACGTTTCCGCGCCTGGTGGCGGCGGCATCTACTGCGATGAACCGCTGCCGCGCAACGAACAGTTTTTCTCTTACGATCTGTGTATTTTACTGCAAGTTTCGAAGACACCGCTTGCCGGATCACGCTATACCTACCTGAGTCCGCATACTGAGAAATGTCCGGCACGCAGGAATTGCGACTATCAATCAATCAATCAATCAATCAATCAATCAATCAATCAATCAATCAATCAATCAATCAATCAGTTTTACTATCATGTCATAAAATGATGTTACAGGGAGTAAAATATACAGAAGAGGGTCCCAAAGTACAAGACTGCAACGGGACCCTCGGTGATCATTACAAATAAAGATATTTAAAGAGTGTGGAATGCGTCACTGCATACGTTGCGCGAAGTGGAATAATATAGCCGTTTCAGAGATACGCTGTGCCACATCCTGTAGCTCCGATGCGTCTTTAAAAGATTTTATATATATTCAGAGAGGGTTAGCATTTGCTCTTGTTAACATCAAAAGAAAGAAATGGCTGGCGGCTGGCGAAGTACTAGGTAGGACAGACAACAGGTGGTTAGTTTGAGTAATGAAATGGTTATCAAGGGCTGGAATATGAAGTCGAAGAAGGCAACGAGTTAGCTGGATTGATAAAGAGGTACGCGAGGATAAAATATAATCAGCTCGCGTGAGTATTGTAGATATAATTGCGACAAGCCTTTGTTCTGTTCTTAAGTGGACCTAATTAGGTCGATAATGATGATAATGCAACCAGATGCCTCTGTCAAGAGACGGAAGATGAAACAATATGGAGGGCCCCCGTGTGGTGCAAAGTTTCGATTAATGAAGTAGTTATGATTTTAGGGCAGCCGGTTTTGGTGTAGCGGCCTGCCTCCTTATGTATGCACATCAAAAAAATGAGAAAAAAACAGGAGCTGAAAACTCTCCACGACTCCGAAAAAAGACCTAATTATCTCGACGCGTGCAGTGAATATCCGATGGGCACCTTACAATTTCAGAACACGCCCTGAGGTTGAAAAGTCATCCGGCTTTAGGAACCACACTGCAGTGGCGTGTATCTGACATTCTACTGCGAGAGCATGATGCTCTTGATGTAGTGAGGCTTTTATGAGGACATTTTCAAAAAGCATTTTGATCTGTGGTCGAGATTACTAATGAATTAAAATTTAAGGTTGCTTAACTAACCTGCTGTTGTCACAATTTCAGGATTATGGTATTTACAATTTTCAGTAGCACTGTTGTCTTCACTTGTGTCTTTTTTTTATCTTGATATTTGCTGCTGCAATGATGCAATTTTTCGTTCATATAGGCACGTGCTTGTGCTTGAGTGTTATTTCGTTTACTTGATCCTTTTTTGTTATAGAACTGTTATGCTTTGTATTTCTGAAATACCTGTTTTGTTATTATACTGTGCACCATTTCTTGTTGGCTTCCTTCACTGATCTATGTAACTTCCAATTTTTCGCTTTTAAAGTATGTCGTGTTAAAAATGTTACCCACTCCCCTCTGTGATGCCCTCAGGCCCTGAGGATACTGGAATAAATAAATAAATAAATAAATAATAAATAATAAATAAATAAATAAATAAATAAATAAATAAATAAAAATAAATAAATAAACAAATAAAAATAAATAAATAAATAAATAAATAACACAAACAAGACACCTCGCCATTCGAAAAACACCGGTGAGTCAAGCGTGCCCTCGGACATTTAAAATAATGCCGAAGAAACCAAACGCCACGCAGCCTCAAACGAATTGCAACAGATGGGAGAGGTGACAACGGTAGCTCAATTCTTTGGCGTAACAGTTGGGGCGAAATCATTACGTTTCCTGATTCTTGAGACCGTGAGCTTCTGATTTGTGAGACCTAGGGATAACATACGCACGCTTCATTGTTTGCAGCAACGGAAATCTGGGGCGAGTTGTAAAATAAAACACTTGAGCAGGGAGCGCAACAAAACAATGACACAAGTAAGCAACGAGACAAGCGTACACGGAAAACTAAGGTTTTTTCTCGGAATCCACATGAATCCAAACTTATTTATCCCTGAACAAGTGTCTCAAAACTACATCTTTAAGTATGAATTTCATTGTAGTTCAGCAAGAACTTGTAAATATCTTTGTTACTATAAGAATAAAACTTGTTGGAGTTTTACCACTCGAAACCCCTATATGCTCATGAGAGGCACCGTAGCAGAGAGGGCTCTGCAAATGTAGATCACCTGGGATTTTTTATAGTGCACCTGAATCTTTGCACATGGGTTTCTAGCATTCTGCCTTTGCCAAAATGCGGCCACCGCAGCCGGGACACGATCCTGCAACCCGCGGGTCATCAATAGATCCCCATAGCCACAAGACCACCACGGTGGGCTTATGTTTGTTATACCGTAACATTCGTGGTATGTAGGAAGGAATAGGAGGAAAAGGAAAGGCAGGGATGTTAACCAGTCTAGAAAAAAAAAAACTAGTGTGCTACCTTACACAGGGGAAAAAGGTGGAGGAGCTTTAAAGATGAAGAAATAGAGGCACGCGTACGCAAAGTAATACTTCAGAATCATCACAACACCGTAAGTCTATAATCACCGGTGCAAGTCTGTAGCCTTCAAGAAGTTTAGCACTGCCTTCTTTGCCTTTCTACGCGATGACCTCTCAGGTCGACATTCCAGAATGGTTTCTGCCGTCATACGTTTCTGATCAATGCAAGCTAGAGCGGCTGCTCTGCGCATTGTAGTGAGGACAGTCGGAGAAAACGTGCTCTATGTAGATTTGATGTTCAATCTACTCGAGGAAACTTTCGGCGAGAAAAAACGAATAACTTGCTGTCGGGCTTCAGGAGTAAAGGTCCTTTAAGTGTAGTAAACAGGGAGCCGAAAACACTCGCCTTTCGCATAGCCTGAGCGTCCAGGAGGCGATGATCCAGAGGGAGACCATGAAGACGAGGAGCACCGTGCCGGGGCAGATGGTCATCAGGGTCTTGAGCACGAAGCGCGTGTTGAAGTTGATGCGGTTGAGCGCCCCGATGGAGCGCGACGAGGCGTCGGTGAACAGCTTCGAGTGGAGAAGCATGACGCGGCAGATGAGGTACAGCCGCAGGAACATGGGCAGCGACAGCGTCACGTCCACGGGAACGTCGCGCGACCGCACGCGGTTCCCGTGGTTGGCCAGCTTGGTGGTCCACGTGAAGCGCTGGTCGCCCGGCACCGGGTGCACGGCGCACACGCAAAGCTCGGCCAGGATCTGCGCCACCCGGCGGGGCGTCATGGCGATGCGCCAGTCGTCCGCGCAGTTGTCGATCATGAACAGCTGCGAAGGGACAAGAAAACATTTAGGATGAAAAAGACGATGTAGACGAACTTCGATGAAAACAAGAAAGCTCTGCCTAAACGGCTCAGTTAGCGTGTTTACCCAAAATGAGGACGGTCATCATCCTTTCCCCCTACAGTGATTGTAGCTCACTTAGTGATCACCCATGTAGATATAATAGCATTGCCGTGATCACGATATGATCTGCTCAGCAACGTTGCCGGGCTAGTTGGTTGGGGTTCATCATTCATGTAACCATAGCACACCACAATAAGGACACAAAAGAGAGACACGCGCACACATAGCGCTGTGTGTGTGTCTTTCTCTTTTGTGTCCTTGTCGCGGTGAGTTATAGCCATATGAATGATGAACGATACGATCATCGTCTTACAGTGGACATGCCACTTGAGAAAGTTCCACCTCTTCCTCTTCTTTAATGTTTTTTTTTGTTAATAAGAGCGCTTGCGAAATTTCTCACGCACATGCGTTCTTGCTTCCTTTCTTGTTGCATTTTGATTAGGTAGAATAGCTGCACTGAAGTTTGTGCGACGAAACTAGTGGAAAAATCGGGCTTTTCCTACATCATATATGGCTGTCCTACGCCCCCGTGAGCATTGGTTAACGCAGCGTTCTGTCTGTCTTACCTAATGCTTTCCACAGCTGGTTCCCGTACACGACTTCTACGGTGCAGCGTACATGATATTTTTGCATGAATCTTGCACCAGGCACTGATGCATTCATCACACGAAATAGGCGAACACAAAAGGGCAAAGATTTGCGGCAGCGAGGATTCACGACCGTTGCTGCATCACACCAAAAGAGAGAGTTGGGCTAGTATGTTTGCGTTCACATTGGAACAGCATATTGGAAAGCATATTGAAACAGTTACCAGATAGCAATAGTGATCGTGATGCGTGGCTGTCATCAATGCAGCTGTTAGAGTCCGTTGGTTACAAACCTCAGTACGACCATTCACAACGAATGACCATTCGAAGAGACACAAAAGCGTCGGACATTTTGTTGGAGCGCCCCAGCACAATGAATCAGTAAAAAAAAGTTGTTTTCAACGGGAAGTCAGTGTTTCAACGAGAAGAAAAACCGAGTCCTGTTGAAATGAACAAAAATGAAGCTGAAATGCTGATCGATAATTGCTGGGGATAATAGAAAATGACCCATTTCATAAGTGAAAAGCAGGCTTTTCTGCGATGCATTTACTGTCTGGCCAATGACATCTGGCCACTTCTGCAAACACCGTGTTCACGTGCTTTGCTTGCGCTACGATGTTAAAAATCAGACTCGGCTCCCTTGACATAAACACGCAAACATAACAAGGTTCTAAAGTTGCCCCAGGACTGGCAACTATAGGACCTCGTCACTACTTCAGGCACGAGAGGCTCTGCCATTAATTGGTCAATTATGCGGCACAGCAAGGTGAACTTGTAAAATATGTAAGAAAAAAAGATCTACTCACTTCATAACGCAGGAATGATTCTCTGGTGCCTGCGGGAAGCTAGACTCCTATGCACGATTCTACAGATTTAAACGTTTATCCTCTCCAAGCCAAGTGTTTCTTACCTAGCTAAATGTTCAACAGTTATAGTTTGCCTTTGCCGAAAATCCATTCGTCTTGTTTTGGTTACGAGATATTTTTATAAATAAGCGTTTTTTGACTATATCCCCAATGGCGAATTTAGCATTGTATCTTGAAGCGCATGCAAATATCCGCTTCCGCCTTCAACAATAGATCTACTCACGATTCTCTTCAGAAAAATGACGTTACCTTTAATGTGTTTAAACTTTCGCGAGGGCATCTCCTTGACCGCGAGCACTTATGTGAAGCAAAGGAAGACGCGAAAACGGCATAGCAAAGTCTGTGAGGCATGTGCACGCACATGTACCGAGCAAAGCACGCCAACTCCCCAGAGAACACTTTTCGATTCTTCGCCAACCGGCCCCGAGATATGAAACCCGGAAGAGAGTTTCCAAACGGAACGGCTTTCTTTTTGCGTTTAGATGAGGACCTAGGGAAAACGTGACACTTTCACTTGTTTCTTCCCTTCTCGTTTTACATCATTTCTGCTTCCTTGTATTTCTGTTTCTCTCGTAGACGGCCATTATTTCGAGCTGATATCACCGAAACCACATAGAGATATGAATCTTTATAAGAAAAATGCATAAAAAGCACCTAAAGTGGCACTCATGAGAAATCGCGATCATTTTCTCTGAATATAAAGTAGCTTTTGTTTTCGACAAGCCCTTGCGCATTCGCGTGGCTTACGTGAGAAGAAAAGACGCACCGGAAACGACACTGCAACACATCACGCTCCAACTAGTGGGACTCAAAAGTAAAGGAAGAAATTGCGAACGGCAAGTGAACGAAAAAAGAATTACAGGCAAAACAGTTAGAATTCCCCAGTATTCTTTTCTTCATTCTGCGTGATCTTTGTTCGATAAAGTACGAGAGATTCTACCTAAGAAATCATTAGGCAGATTAAAGCGCTGTTTTTAGCCTCAATCATCTTATTTTTATTTTGCGTGCAGTCGCACAACGGAGCTGGCGAAAAGCAAACATCGATGAACTTTGAGTAGGTTAATCGCTTCGCACTAACTGCGGTGGCGCGCCGCGCTATCATGTAGCTGAGCAACGTCGAGCGTGGTGAAATTTTATAACACACGTTCTTGCTGGTGCTTCAGTTCGCGAAGTTATTCGTACGCACGAGAGCGTGACATTGGGCACGACAACAAACGCTTCGTGAGCTTAACAACGGACTCTATAAACGTGAAACGGAATGATGCATCGATCGCACTGAGCTTTTTTTGACGGAGACTTGTTGTCCGAAGGCATGCGTGGGGGAGGGGGCAAAAGGAAGCAAGCGTCAAACTGACGCGTTCGAACGCCGTGCTTTTCAGTGTTCAAATCGTGCGGACAATTCTCGCTGGATATGCGGGGAAAATTAAACGGATCTACGATAACAGCGAGACGCAACGAAATAAAAAAAAAAGAAAGCGAGAAAGTAAGTAGACGAGAATGCTTGTATACTCGCATCAGATCAAGTTCACCCCCAAATGAACTAACTACGGATTAGCCCAACAACAAATTATCTTAGTGAAGGATGCCAGTTTGCCGTTTGCATTTACGCGCCTTAAATATTTTTTTTTTGGGAAGCTACGCTATTTACCTATTTAGATACGATTTCGGGAAAGAGCGAGTGGATAGTGTGCGAGAGAGAAAGAGACAGATAGAGATAAGGGGGAATGAAAAAAAAACATATGCTGGCAGGAGGAGCGTCAGGCTAAGTTTACGAGCGAACGTAGAATGTGAGCGTCTATTTAAAGACAGGTTCATTAAAAAGGCGTTTACGCGGCAACATCTACTGCTAAGAGAGTGTTTTCGCGAACGTATAAGCACGCGTTAATTTGTTCCCATATATGGAAACGGTGCCCTATACCTCGGCGAAAGGTCGAGTAGACCCCGTGACAAGCAGCCCCATCGTAATGGGTTCTATTCACATTCCACCGAAGCGAGATGTTTCTCGAAGAATGGAAGATTGGAGGCAATGACAAAGCGGATCATTGTCTTCGTTCTCCGCTCCTGGGATTCTTTCCAATAGCGTGCAGCGTTACGGAAACAGAGCTTGCATATGGCTTATCGGGCTCCGCACGAATTTTCCTTCACAAAAGGGGGGGGGGCGAAGTTTGGAGTGGTGCCATATGTCGGTGGGGCTGTAAGCTTTTGATATAACAATGGGTCCTCCATCTTTCTTTTCTTGAGGTTTCGCAGGAAACCATTCTTGCGTATGATCTCTGTTGTCGACGTGGGCGGAAGGGATCCCGTATGTTCCAAGAAAAAAAAAATACATACCTTAGACAGAGAGCTCGTAGGTGGGTTAGTTGGTTCAACAACATTGGGACAAAACAGCGCGGATAACGGGACACAAGAAAATACAAGCCGCAGCGCTGACTGTCAATACTTGATTGTCGACGCTGACTCCTGTGTGTTCTTCGTCCAGCTGTCTGTGGTGTTTCGCCACAAGCAGACTTGTGACTCTCTTCTGTGAGTCTTGACTCACCACATATATGACTCCCTTTATTGATACACGTGAGCTCTACGAAAGCAGTAACACATACTTTTTTTAGAGCATTCGTAACATAGTACACGAGTATAAACAGGTGCCATGACCGTTGTTGTGTTTTGCTTGACATGGCATTCGGTGTGTAATATACAGACAAGCAATAGTTGGACAAATAGCTGTATATCACGTGACAGAGATCCACTTAACCTTGTCGAACAATAAACAACACGCTAACACGAAACAGAACGGAACGAACCACTACAAAGCAAAGGGACAAAGCACAATCTGTTCAAAGCAAACGACAGCAGATCGACGCTCATTACCCTCAAAACAATCCTACGTAACTGTCATCTATGACTAGCTGAGGGTACGAGAATTCTACCTAATTTCTATAATTAATATAATCTTTATATCAGAATGGTGATGAGACGTGTGTCCCAACGCCGGTAATAATACAAATGTTCTTGCGTGAACGAAATTTAGAGACTATTAGCTAAGGACGGTTTTAGCAATAAATATTTTTCACTCACTTCAGTGAAACAATTTGGTCGGTTGCCTATTCAGACTTCCATAAATGAAATATCAGAATTCATATTGCAACTGGACGAAGCCCTTTTACGGAAGGTTCTGGCAGCGCTTGCCGTCCACTGGCAACACAGTGTCATTATCGAAAACGCACAGGCAAGGAGCCAATTTTCATTTCCCCTACCCCTCTCTCAGCATAAAACATTACTATGCCCGCAGTTACCTACCTAATTTATTTTAAACAAGCAGTGTAATGCTCTAACTAACCTTCCGTATAGGTAAACTGCAACATTTCGATCACAACGATGATTTATATCATATGCATCCGCAAAGATACGGCCTAATACGGCACGCATATCGCTCACCAAAACGTCGGGTAGCAACGTCTCTGTCGTACAAATG